TTGGCGTGCTTAGTGCAGGCATCGGAGGTATGATCCGGATGGCTTCTATGATATCTATAATCAGCTGGAATATTGTTTTTAACTGTTAAGATGTGAACATAATTATATTTAGAATTAATTGTAAATATTTTATATTTTAAAATATTCTCTTTGTATACTTTATATCTTAGAATATTTTCTTTGTAAACACCTATATATAAGTCATTGTATATACAGTATAATTTAAGAAAGCAATAAACCTTTCTTCAGATATTTCTCTTTCTTTTTAGTTTCTAACATGGTATCAGAGCTATAAGCTCTTGGTTCTTTTCTCTTATCATCGTTGTTGGGTTTTATATTTAGAATTATTGTAAATATTTTATACTTTAAAATATTCTCTTTGTATATTTTATACCTTAAAATATTCTCTTTGTAAACACCTATATATAGGTCATTGTACATACAGTATAATTCAAGAAAGCAATAAACCTTTCTTCAGATATTTCTCCTTCTTTTCAGTTTCTAACATTAACCAATCTGGAAACTACAATTTAATTAATTAAGAAATGAAAATGCAAAAAGCCGGTCCCCTGTTGCGATAAACCCTGCTACAGTCCCACTTGAATCATGAATGTTGAAGAAAGAGAGAAGAAAAACCTGGACGGAACCCTTCAGGATTAATATTATCTCACAGTACTTCAAAAATGAATGCTATTTGTCTTCACGAAGCTCCATGATGCATGTGCAAAGTTTACAAACCATTGGTGCATGGACTTTCCTATAGAGATCCTCCACTGCACCATGCAAATTCTGTAGAATTCTGAAAATACCCCGCGTGGGTACGTAATTTCTTCTTGTTGGCAGTATAGCGTAGGTTGAGCTCATTCAAACTTGTCATATTCTCCAATTGCTCCGGATACCCCTACGGTCATGAGAAGATACAGATCAAGGTTCTCCTAACTTAAAAATCTCTTTGGAAAATGAATGACATGTTCTCACAATTCCAAGTTCATGAAAATGAGATTGTTAAGATTGCCACAGGACCAATGTATGTACCCCTGTCAAATTAATGCAGTCTTTGATGAACGTAGACCAATTTCTCAACGTTGGAGAGTTGAGAGACCTCATATGCCAAAGATTCTGAATAGATAAGGAGAATACTGAAATCATGGACTGAAGATTTTTAAGAACCTGGTAAGAGAACATGTTTAAACAGAATGGAAGAAGCAAAATGTATAGTTTTACCTTTTCTTCCTCCCAAATCTGTTTTGAGCTTGACTATAGTTTTTTCTTACCATTTCTTCCTCTCAAAACTGTTTGTCTACATGATCATGATCCTATCTAATTTTGTAGAGGAATAAAGGCTGACTGAAACACCGTGTCTTTTTCATATATTGCAAGTTATATTGTTACATGTCCTTTTTTGGTTGAATGTATGTTCCAGGTCAAGGGACTTTAAAGGCATGATTTGGGCAGGCATTGGGGGCCTGGTTTTTGATATACAATCTTCATCCAATCTCAGATAAATCTACTAGAAAATTGACCACTTCTTTTAATGCCACTTTTTTTAATGCCATCCTGTCACGGACAAATCTTCTTTAACTTTTATTGTAAATGAAGCTTTTCGCAATCACTTAGGAGCAGAGTTTCTAGAGGAAGACAAGCCATTGCCATTTCAACTGGTACCAAATTCCACAGTGGAGAAAACAATTAATACACGATTTTCACTAAAGATCCTTCATTATCCCAGACAAATGTTCTCTGCAAGATTCTAAAAGCATGCCCAATGGCCATGGTAAGTTGACAGTAAAGACTATATATAGAAGGCACTATCCCCACTAAAAGTCACGCAATTTAAAGTGAAATCTGACTCTCTAACAAACAATAATACAGATCCATGGAATAAATTATTCAGAGATTTTGAAGAAAAAAATGATTACCTAGATCTCCAATTCTCCTGTGAAGCTCGAGGATGCAGAAGAAGACGTGCTAAACAAAAGCATAAGTAAACAAATCAGAAATGGCAGGGAACTATTAATTTCCACTCGGAAAGTGCTGCTATTCACTGCCATGGTTAAAGTGGAGTGGCCCTTGTAGGCTTAAACATTCTATTTCAAGCGGCCAATTTGATGGGGATGAGTTACTATGTCTCTAATTGTCCCCTATGATTTTGCAACCGCCATACTTCTGGTTTTTCTTCCATTTTTATCTTCCCCAGGTCTATTTTTGAATTTTATCTCTATTCAAGTTACCTCTTCTCTCCAGAATCTTCCTCAGCTCCTTGGTCTAACTGGATATGCATTTGCTTAGAACAACTCCCATGGCTTCCCTCCTAAGGAATGAAAAAACTAAGATTGTTTTGTCTTCTGGGGATGCAGGTTTTTTTCTCTAATATGTGGATATAAAGGCTTAGAATATAGCTCTCTTACTCTTGCTTCTGCCCTGAGCAACCTCACGCCTGCTTCCGCTTTCATTCTTGTTTGCCATCATTTTCAGGTTTCTTTCTTTTTCCCCTTTTCAAGTCACTCTTTTCAAATTCATTTTCATCCCAATACACCTTGGTAAAATTCTCTTCATTCAACAATGCAGAAATTATTTTCCATCAACAGTATCTATTCACTAAAAATCAACATTTCTGATTTGTTTACTTATGCATTTTTTCATCAATCTATTATTGTATTCCTTAAAAAATTTATACCTTTGAAGGTGCATCCAAAAATGGGAGAATGGATATAACAATGTTCATGACATCATGATTCATGTAGAAATTCTTTAATTTTCTCCATATTGTAATGGATTGACTGAGATAAGGAATTTTCTTTCGATGCCATGAATAAAGAGTAGCATAAGAAGCACAATTACTCAGGCAAAGATCAACAAAGTTCATGTAATAGTTAGTTATTTACCATCCCATTCCGTTGAACAACAGATGAACTGCAATCTCTTTCATCTTTCTGGTTTGAAAATCTTGCTGATATATACATCAACCATGGATTTGTCTTCTTCATTCACGAAACTTGGACCTCTCCAGTGAACTCATCCTTTTGAGGGTACCCAATGAATGTTGGAAAGTAGTAATGGCAGCAAAGTGATAAAAGCAAGATCTCTCTATCTTACTAGATAATGACAATATTAATGCTTCATGTTTTTCCATTTTAAGGAAAAGGCAGATGGCAACCACATGACCTGAAAGAGGATGAGAGTTACATGGCCCATACCTTTTCCAAGTTAGCACAGCAGAAAAACCAAACTTGGTGGAATAAAAGGCAGTAGGTTCAGTACTCCTTTTACTCAATTTATTTGTCTCTCCATCTACTCTAGAGCTAAATGTTGGATACGATGACAATTGTGTCACTATGTACGTTCTTGCTTCAATAGAATTAAAAGGATTTGCCAAAGGATACACATTAAGGATCTCGGCAGGCAGGTCAAAAGGTAGAATCTGGACTCATTGGTTTTGTCTTCCCCAACACGGCTGTCCCTTGTATTTCATCTCAAGTAAAACCCTACAAAAGAACTAGCTCATTAAAAAATCAACTCTTATAAGCACAACATGCCAATAAGCCTGCTAATCAACCTCGCAAGTCTAAGACAGAGGCAACTTTTGTTAAAGGAAAAATGAAGAAAGACGGGAAAGCACACCTATCACCATCCATCTTTCCCTTTTTCTTTGCATTCCACTTTAAAAAGGGAAAACAAAAGAAAAAAAAAAGGGCGGACCATGATTGGTGCACACCCGGATCCCACACCCGGGTGTGCACCCCCCACGTAAAAAAAAAAAGTTGGACCAGGTGATGGGCATTTTTTTTTTTGTTTATATTGGGGGTGCACACCCGAGTGTGGGATCCGGGTGTGCACCCATCATTTTCCAAAAAGGGCAGAATAAACACGGATATTATGGCTGTACAGATCACTCAATCACCACGAGAACGATAAACAATCAAGGGTCATTTGAAGTCTTCAAACACTTAGGCTATAACTTGGAGGTCGAAAATCACATTCACTCTATTCACAATGGTGCAAGGAAATAATAATAATAATAATAATAATAAGAGCCATTAATAGAGGTATTTGTTGGAGCTCAGAAGCAAGAAACAGAAGATGAAATCAAGGAGAGATCAACAGGAAGAGAGAAAACCAGAAAAGAACATGAAGACCACACATACTTTGGTCTTCTCTTTTTCATTGTTCATTATCAGTAGGTGAACAACTTACAAAAAAAATGTTGTACATATTATATTACAATAAAAGATAGATCACTTTGATATGATTTTCACCTACAACTAAAGCAAAATATTGTTCCATTTAGCTAAGTATCTAGTTGAAATTCAAGTCTTCAACAATATTCTTTCACTGGGGAAAAAAACTACATTTCCCTTCCACCAAGTAGCATTAGCCTATTCAGCCGAAAAAAGTAAAAAGCATCATCCTGATATCTGTGATTAATAAATTTTATTTAATTTTGTCAATATATATTTGTTTACTTATTGTGTAGGGTCAAGATGCTCTTGATACCAATTGAAACAAACTCAGGCAAAAATTCATCATTGGCCTAACAACTTTTTGAGAGTAAGCTCCACAATCCTCAAAAACTAAGTTTAAGTTGGTTCCTAACTTGTATACCAGACTCAAAGTCCCAATAATGTAGGATTCCTAATATATAAGTTGGTTCCTAACTTATATATCTGTTTACAATTGTTTACTAAACTTTGGAAATTATGAAATGAAAGGAAAGAGTAGAAACCTGAATGGAACAAGTGTGCATGAAGAGATTGAAAAGACGTAACTGCTTGTTTAGCAAAGACTTCAAGCTAAACAAAAGCTCTAAATTAGCAAGTTGAACGCTAGTTAAAGATTTGAGCTTGCAGTTGCCCTGAATCTCTACTAATTTTTCACAGCCATAATAATTTTGGCAGCCAATTGGGTTAGCTAAACAGTCTGTAGGACTCTCTGCTAACAAATTAGTCCCTCCTTCGAGTGTCACTTTCTCCAAAGATGTGCAATCGGGGCACTCAACTCCATGTGTGATTCAGTTTCTATTGCTTGGAGCTTCTTGCACTTATATAGGATCAACTCTGCTTTTAAGAGGAAGGGAACTAAGATCAACTGGTAGGCTGCAAAATTTGTTTTTGCTTAAATTCAATTTATGCAATGAGGGGCTTGCGACAACAATGGGACCTGCTGTGCCTGATAGATCACATTCAGAAACATCAAGCTACTTTTAACTTCGGCAAATGTGATAGACAAGTTGGTAAGCAATGAAAAGTGTTTCCTTTTAGAAAGAACATCTCAAAATTTGGTAAGCCACCAAGATCTCCGGAAAATGAAGTATCTGACAGATTGCAGAATGACAGATTCAATCCCTTTATAGAAGCCAAACTCATAATGGAGACAAATCCTAGTTACCTGGACTTTCAATTAAAGATCTCTCATTGTTCCAAAGAAAATTTGTAAGATTCTTAAGATGGCTAATGGATATGGATAAATTCTTGATGGCAGTACAGGCTATATTGAGCTCTTTCAAACTTTCCATATTCCCAACATCCTCTGGCAACTCCTTTAGGTTTGAGCAGAGATACAAGTTAACATTCTCATCAATGTCCCGTGCTCTGCTTAGGGTTGAAGGCAGAGGTGGTGGGTTTTCCTCCCTAGGATTTCTCCCCGCAGAAGAGTTCCTTCTTTCCTGCTTTCTTCTTACCCTTACCTTCCTCTTCTTGATCTCTCCTTTACCTTCGTCGACTGTGTTGCTTTGGAAAATTCAGCCCAAGGGACCACAAGGCAACGGTATATTTAGATCTACATCTGTGGTTGATTTCTGAAAGCTGCAATTGGAATAGCAAGGGAATTGATCTTGCGGATGGATTGGGTTTCTCTTATTCAACGAGTAGGAACCTCACTTTGGCGCATCTCGAATTCGACAAAACTAGTTCATTCCAATTTTCGATCAGGCAGCTGATTACGGAGGGAAAGGGATATTGTGGGTTACAATATGCACAGGAAGCATGATATTCAAATCGGTAAAGGCGTTTTAGTTCCCTCAATGAGCTTCGACAGTAAGAGTTTGCAGAGGATTGGCAAATCGGACCATGATTGGGAGTACGATTGCTATGCCTTGTGCTTGCACGGAAGATTGGCAAAAAGGAACAGGTGCCGTTGGTGAAGCCAATTGTACTCTGCAAGGGAATAATAGTATTAAAGACTGGGATGCATTGCGCTTGCACAGGAGGACCGTGCACCTACTCCTGTTGCTTAACTTTTAGAAATAGATAAGACGGCAACTTGCTGAGAATTGTTTGTTGTCAAAATCTTTTATTCTCCGTATGAAATTGTTAAATAGATGAGTACGTTTGAGTAGTTTTTGATATTCAAAAGACTTTTTTTTTTAATATCCGTACTCCTATTTCATCTATACAATAATTACCATTACAATATATAATTACAATGTATAATTATAAATTATTTTTTTACTTAATTATTTATATTTGTTATAAATATAATTTAAATTTATTAATAAATTGATAAATTATATTTCTGATTTTACCTTTACGTTATAATGCTTTAGATTATATTGTCCGCAATTTAGTTCTTTGTACTTTTTTTGTTATTTAATATAACTCTTCCATTTCGCATTTATATATATAAATAAATATTCTCCAGAAAACTTACAAATCTCTTTGGGAAGATAACCGGGGTTCCTGCAGTTTTCCAAGTCCAAGTAGATAAGATTGCTAAGTTTGCCAATGGACTGATGTATCTCAGTCAAATTATTGTAGTCTTTGAAGGTCAATCTCTCAACACTTGAAAGACCTGAGATGTCAGAGGTTCTGACAAAATAATGTGAGTGACTGAGATTAACACGATAGCTGATCGTGACGGAGAGCGGCGGAGCGAGTGGGTGATGTCGGTTGGAGATGAACATGAAAGGAGAGGAGAAAGGAGCAGCATTGGACCAAAGGAAGAGGAAGGGTCAACCGCTGTGGGCTAGGAGAGGGAAGTGTTCCTGCGATTTGTTCGGAAAAAAATTAATAAAGGAATGGACGGATGGATGAAGTGAGGAGAGAGAAAATGTTGATGTTAATTTTATTTATATAATAAAAAATAAAGAATATGAAAAAATAATATTTTTATTTAATTAAATAA